TCATAATCATAAATGATGTAATTTTCTTGGGCTTGGCCTAAGGGAAAAGAAAAGAAAATCATTTTTTAACAGAGTAAAAACATTTATTGCAACTCTATAATAGTTATGACTTCCCTACACCCACCTACTTTTGTTATTATTATTACTCACAACAGCTGTTGAAGCTGAAAACCGTTCTGAGATGGCCCCTGAACTAGGAAATACAGCCAGCGTTTCCGTAGAGCCAAAAGTTCTAGCGTCCAGTGACCGCTTCGCGTCCCTTGATGCAAATGCAGTACAGGACATCGTGGATGGGAACCTCTCCAAATCTACTGGGCGTAATACCTCCTGGGGAGTTAAAATATTTCGACGTAAGCCATTCAAACATAAAAGAATACATAAACACATACCTATAATTCCTACGCAGATTCGATCAACATCAGCGAGAGTTACCTCCCTTACACCATTGCCATGATAGCAATGTAAAGCGTGACCAATGTGTCATCGCAAAAATTGCCAATAATATAACGAGATTGACCAAAATCTTAACGTAAATTAAATATTTCGTTTTGTAAGATTTGAGATATGTTATGCTAAATGGATACACGGAAATTTCATTTAAACACAACGCCGTAATAGGACTAATAACAAATTCTTCCCACTTACTGTCACATTTGTACCCTGAACAAGGCAATCTTTTTCACTTCCAGAATGGCTTGGTTTCCGAGGTTTGGAACCCAAGTTCGAAGAGCTTCCTGCTTCTCAACTGAATGAGAGACTGAGGTTCTTTTATGCCGAAGTCAGAAATGCTGAGGGAGATCTTTACTCAAAATCGAGTTTTGTTGGGTTGCGTGCTGCCATACACAGGCACATCAGGGGACCGCCATTTGAGCGCAGCATAAACATTATCAAAGACCGGGAATTTCACACTGCAAACAATGTTTTTCTGTCCATGATAAAAAAAACTCAAGCGCGATGGCCTTGACCAGACAACACATCATGCTGCTATCCCCGAGAATGATTTTAAAAAAATTCGTGAAAGTTTGGATACGGAAACTCCTTCCGGCTTGCTTCGTAAAGTTTGGTTCGACCTTACACTCGGTTTCGCTCGTCGTGGTAAAGAAAACCAAAAGGGAATTAACTGTATCTTCCTTTCTTGTATCCACCAATGAACAGGGGTTTTAAGTTCATTGAAATGACACACTCCGAAGTCACAAAAAATCACAAGGGGGACCTCAAAGACTCAAATGGGCCCAACAAACGCATTTATGCAACATCGGACCAATTCTGTCCTGTACTTTCATTAAAAAAATACATGTCTCTCCTCAATCCCAACAATGGTGCTTTTTACCAGGCTCCCAAGTGACGACTCCACGTCGACGACACCGAATGGTACACCACGAGGCCAGTTGGTGTAAATGTCATTGGCAACATGATGAAAGAAACTTCTACCAACGCTGGTCTCAAAGTGTATACAAACCATTGTCTTCGGGCAACTGCTGTTACTTTGCTGTCAAACGCAAGCATTGAAAATCGCGAGATTTGCAAAATTACCGGCCACAAAACCGATGAATCGTTGAAGTTGTATTCCATTAACTCGAGCTCGGCTCAAAAACGACATTATTCGAACATTCTTCAGGGACAGCAGCAGCTCGCTAACGAACGTAATTTGGTACCTGTCCAAGATACAAATATCCTGCCACTGTCCACTGCTCCCGTGAATAACTTCCAGGTTAATTCTTCTGTTAATTCCGATGGTCTTTTTCACATATGTAATTCCACTGTGACAGTAAACAACTTTTTCCATCCCAGCTAAGCTGCATATCTAAAATCTCGCACATGTTTGACCTCTCTTGTCACTACCTCAGCGAGTTGACACTTTCTTGTATAGGGGCCAAACAGTATGTACGGCTTTTCTAATTTTGATTATTTGTATTTTATAGATACGCATAACTACAAATTAGAAGTAAGATGAGGAACTGTGATAAAGACTTGAATTTGTGATATTTCCTGTTGTTTGTTTATTTTCTGAGAAATGGGCTTCAACATGATGCCACCCCTTTCGTAAAATGAACCGAGGAGACGTATTACTAACGACAGTCTTGTTGTGTCATGCGCTCAGTAAATTAGTTTCTCCTAAATATCGATTTAATTAACGTTCATGTTACAATGTCGATAAATATTTCGTTTTGTAGATTTGCGTGATGTTATGCTGAATGGATGTACGGACATTTTTCATTTGAACACTCCGCCTTACACTGAATGGATGAACGGAATTTTTTCATTTGAACACTCCGCCTTGAAATGTCCGTACATCCATTCAGCATAACATCACGCAAATCTTACAAAACGAAATATTTATCTCCTAATTAAATCAATATTTAGGAGGAACTAATTTACTGAGCGCATGACAGTAAACTTTGTTAACAATCACGCTTATAACAAACTGGGAGGGGGGGGGGGGGGGGGGCAGTCGTCTAAGGCGCCGTGATTCGCTGTGCAGAGTTGCGTCCCTTGGGCACGCTAGAAACCTATGATTGTGGGTTCGAATGCCGGTTCGCCCCGATTATGTTTCTAGGTTTGTCAGCACCATACCCGTGCTCGTGGGTTTCACCGAAGTGGTAAACGTCAGAGACCTGCATCACTTCGGGTTTCCTCCCACATTAAGCTGACACGCCGCGATGTAACTTGAATACTGTTAATAGCGGCGTTAAACCCAACTAACTCACTCACTCATAATGTCCCGGTTCTGTCTGTATAATATTATGATACGACGTGTTCTTTATACCAAAAATGCAAAAGGGACACTTAATCTATTCTTGTCTAATACGTCTAAACGTTTACAGACCATCAGGGGCGGTCGGGTAGCCTAGTGGTTAAAGCGTTCGCTCGCCACACTGGGTTCGATTCCCGATATGGGTACAATGTTAGAAGCCCAATTCTGGTGTCCCCCGCCGTGATGATGCTGGAATATTGCTAAAAGCGGCGTAAAACCATACTCACTCACTCACTCACTCACTTACAGACCATCGTCTGCAGCTGAATTAAGTGTATCACGCTCAATCAATTCAAGTATATTTGTGAAAGGTAAATCTGTGGAAGAAAATGTGTACGCGGACGCAAACTTATCGGCAATTCAAACTGAAACTAACTGAAATTGTGCACACCATCGATAGTACACAAGCGCCGCTATCTCAAATGAGTTTATCTGTTCAGGCATTAGGCATTGTAAAAGGGAGATTACTTCAGTGAGTTTGGTTGGTTGGTTTATTGTTTAACGCCGCACTCAACAATATTCCAGCTATATGACGGCGGTCTGTCAATAATCGAGTCTGGACCAGACAATCCAGTGATTGATATCATGAGCATCGATCCACGCAGTTGGGATCGATAACCGTGCATCAACCAAGTCAGCGAGCCTGACCACCCGATCCCGTTAGTCGCCTTTTACGACAAGCATAGTCACCTTTTACGACAAGCATGGGTTGCTGAAGACCTATTCTACCCCGGATCTTCACGGGTTTCAGTGAGTTTGGTGTTACGCCGCTTTGAGCAATATTCCAGCAATACCACGGCGGGGGACACCAGAAATGAGCTTTACACATTGTACCCCTGGGAGAATCAATCCCGGGCCATCAGTATGACAAGCGAGAGCTTTAACCACTAGGCTAGCCCACCGCCCCTCATTACTCATGGGGGCACGGGTGACCCAGTCGTCTAAGGCTCCGTGATTCGCTGTGCAGAGTTACGTCCCTTGGGCACGTCAGAAACCTATGATTGTGGGTTCGAATCCCGGTTCGCCCCGATTACGTTTCTAGGTTTGTCAACACCATACCCGTGCTCGTGGGTTTCACCGAAGTGGTAAACGTCAGAGACCTGCATCACTTCGGGCTTTCCTCCCACATTAAGCTGACACGCCGCGATGTAACTTGAATACTGTTAATAGCGGCGTTAAACCCAACTAACTCACTCACTCATAATGTCCCGGTTCTGTCTGTATAATATTATGATACGACGTGTTCTTTATACCAAAAATGCAAAAGGGACACTTAATCTATTCTTGACTAATACGTCTAAACGTTTACAGACCATCAGGGGCGGTCGGGTAGCCTAGTGGTTAAAGCGTTCGCTCGCCACACTGGGTTCGATTCCCGATATGGGTACAATGTTAGAAGCCCAATTCTGGTGTCCCCCGCCGTGATGATGCTGGAATATTGCTAAAAGCGGCGTAAAACCATACTCACTCACTCACTCACTCACTCACTCACTTACAGACCATCGTCTGCAGCTGAATTAAGTGTATCACGCTCAATCAATTCAAGTATATTTGTGAAAGGTAAATCTGTGGAAGAAAATGTGTACGCGGACGCAAACTTATCGGCAATTCAAACTGAAACTAACTGAAATTGTGCACACCATCGATAGTACACAAGCGCCGCTACCTATGATTGTGGGTTCGAATCCCGGTTCGCCCCGATTATGTTTCTAGGTTTGTCAGCACCATACCCGTGCTCTTGCGTTTCACCGAAGTGGTAAACGTCAGAGACCTGCATCATTTCGGGCTTTCCTCCCACATTAAGCTGACACGCCGTGATATGACTGGAATACTGTTAAAAGCGGCGTTAAACCCAACTCACTCACGCACTCACTCACTACCTCAGTGTTTGCTAATGCAACTCTATGGTGATAATCGTCTTAATTGTTCTCATTTATAAACAAGGCCTTACCGGATGTTCTAACACCTGGTGTCACATTATATAACTTTACGACATTTATTCTTGGGAATACATGTGTATTTCTTCTTTCTTCCATTTTCTCTGGTTTGTTTGTTTTCTTTGTTTGTTGTTTAACGCCGCACTCACCAATATTCCAGCTATATGACGGTGGGCCATTTCCTCCAGACAAAAGCATGTGTAACTATGATGACGATTAATTCATTACTCAGAAATATCCAATCCTTAAGCTGCATTAAAAAAATCACAAACACTCCTATCAATGAAGATGTCTTTATTAACACGTTGGGGACGTCATTGGCCTCTTGATCATATTGTGAGAAAGAGAAAACAATATGTATGGTGGACTTAATGTGTACATATAAATTATGTTGTGTTAGAATGGGATACAACGGATTTACCAGTAATCTGACAGATTTGTATCTGACAGACTCAGACCAGATGATGTTTGTTACATCTGATACTAGTACAGTTTGATTTTATTTGTATATGTGATGTTTACTTCAGCTCATCGATATCATTGTGCTCAAAATACTTATTTTAGAATATTATTTTCAAAGTTTTTTACTGAATCCTAGCTAACACATGTAAACTGCAAGTACCCAAACAGAAGGCTGTTGTTAGGTTGTTTTGTTGTTTTACGCTGCACTCAGCAATATTCCAGCTATATGATTGTAGTCTGGAAATAATCGAGTCTGGACCAGACAATCCAGTGATTGATATCATGAGCATCGATCCATGCAATTGGGATCGATGACATTCATCGCCTGATCCCGTTAGTCGCCTCTTACGAGAAGCATAGTCGCCTTTTACGACAAGCATGGGTTGCTGAAGACCTATTCTACCCCGGATCGTCAGGGGTACAAACAGGAGGTACATGTGAACAAAATTAAAAAACGGATCAACTAAAGCATGATGTGTACACTTGGTACAGATGCCATGTCAAATGTGTTAAATAGACACAAACTGTTAGAAAATAGCTAACATTTCAATCATAAGATATAACTGATTTTTTTTCGTTTAAACCCACACGATTGTAATAAATGTGAGAATAACAATATTGACCATATGAGTAGGCAAGTCGTGTCATGAAGCGTTCATAAAATCCTGATTAATGCATTGTAGAGCCTGTCGCAGCAATACTCCCAAAACAAAATAAAAAATATTAACTCTAGTCTGTGCAATAAACAAACATATCAGATAAGTTGAGGGCGTGTGGCGCTGACATTCGATGTACAGAGTAGCGTCCCTCAGCCGAAATAAGATCAGCTGATCGAGGAGCACTGTTCCAAGATTATGATCTTCTGTCTGTCCGACACATACGTATTTAAAGGGTAGGCCACTCTATATCTGGGTCGCCACCTTAACATGTGTGTGTGAATAGTGACTTCAAAGTTGGTGTCACTGTTGCGAGAGAGTGAACGATTTACATCTATTTGACGTTATTTAAGCCATACCGCAAGATCTATAGCATCCATAATGGCTTGAGAGGAACGAGTGTATCAACTCTATATACTGCTTCAAGTCATCCTTCTGACATTTCTCCAGTTCACAGATTGCTTCAGTTACCTTCTGACGAATCGTGTTCACACATTGTTTATTCTCTTGCACAGGCTCCCTTTGTATGCCTCCTATTGTCCTGAACAATTCTTGTCATTGATCGTTTGCCTTCTCGGACTCTGTCCCAGTGTTGACATTGACAAGCACAGGTGGGTTGTGGCAGAACTTGAGGAAGTCTTTCAGGAAATTAGGAATGTTCTCTAGGTATTCCTTCAAAGTGAGGTTATCATCTAATGTTGTAAGCACGAGCACTATTTTATGTGACATGGACTTCCCCACAATAGATCTGACATGTTTGAGGAGCAGTTCTTCATCATATGTCATTGGAGATACCTTCACGACAAGCAAGAAGGCGTTAATGGAACTTGCCTTTGTCACCACCACATCGACTGTTCTCTGGATGTTCTGTTTGTTGTACAACGAAAACCCAGGTGTGTCCAATATTTGAATTGCTCTGTTACCAATTCTTGCGCGTTTCTCCTGACATATTGCTGTGGGTTTCTGTAATCCAGCATCGAACAGTTTCTCACCTGCAATTGCATTGGCAAGAAGACTTTTCCCTGTCTTTGGGTAGCCTATGAGCCCAATACTCACAGTTTCTGAGGGGGGTTTAACTGAAACAAATATGCAGCAATTTACATTTTGTCTGTGTGTTGTATCTAGCTTCATTCAGCAGAAGTAAATGTACTGCTATCAATTTCCATCAGGAACCATCAGCGAACTATAGTTAACGTTTTTCAAAAAGGTAAACTGATTCTGTGTCAAATATAGCCATATATATAATATTATTCATGGAAATTCACAACCTACAAGTGAAAGAAGGCATCTGCAAAGGATTGAAAGAAGTTGTGATAAAACTATTCTTATGTTCACAGGCATGACAATAATCTAAGTGTTACTAACCTTCGTCACGTTCGTAGATCCTCCATATTGGAGTCCTAAGTGCCTTCAACGTGTCCTGAATGACCATGAACTGGTGACGTGGGGCAGCTACAATGATGTACTTGAACTGTGACCAGTCCTGACCAGACTGACGGAAGGAGTCAATTGTCTCGATGGTCACTTCAGCTGGGGCATGACTGAAAGATGGCATGTTCTTTACTCTCATATCTTAACACTTCCATCACGCAAAGATTACATGTTAGTATACGTGTTATTATTGTACACAGTTGAAGATGTTGCAAAGAAATCAGCACTAGCCTAAGTCTCTACACCTATTAATTGTGAAGAATACCTCCTTATGTTAGACTGCTTTAGCAGCCTCAGTAATTATATATGCAAACCTATCAGTTTAATATATCATGCCTGATACAGTATTACAATAGCTCTGATGGAGCATATTAAGTATGTTGTCTGCAAACCTACTTTCGTTTGGTCTTTTCCTCCATGCTCTCACAGATAAGAAGTGTTTTACCACTGCGTTCTAGTCGTAGGGCAGCTTCAAACATGAACACTGTTTTCCCATGAAGTGTTTCAGATACATCTGATGGTTGGCGTAGATCAACATTGTTAAGTAAGTTTGAAAACTGTTCTATCATCAAAACCCAAAACGACCCCTTTCCACCATCTTTAGGTGCCTGTGGAATACTTGTTCTTGCAGCTGTAGCTGTTAAAGCATTCTTCAGCCCTTCAAATTTGGAATCGGTCATGTGTTTTTGATCAGGAAAGCAGGATTCCATTACCGTAGACCTTCTTTTATGGACAGTGGAGTGAAATTTGTTCTTTTTCCCATATATTTTCTCTTCAGTGGCCAAAAAGATGAAAGTGAACCTTTCTGCTGTGTATTTTCCAAAAATCACCCTCATGCGATGGGCCAATTCGGCATTATATTTGTCTATAGCATCATCAACTGCTTCCGATGAGAAAGATATAACAAAAGGTAGGCACTTTCGTGTGATGATCAATACATCACACTGCAAAACATCAGGTGGTTTGTTACAAGGCACGTTTAAGGTAGTTGCAAGCGACCGACCAAATAAAGCAATACCCCCTCCATTGTATTCTAATAATTCTGCAACACGTTTCACCACATGCGGATGTTCCTTCTTGAGGGCGCCGACAAAGTTCACTGGAAGCATTGCTTGCTCTGTGTAAGTAAAGGTTTATATAGTTACGTGTATGTAGTTACATATGGACAGCGAGCAGGCAAACCAACAGTCATGAAGGGAACAAAACTGGCATCAGTAACGAAGACCAGCGCTTGACCAATGGTTGCACCGCACACAGCGAGTTACAGAGGCTTAGATCAGGGTGCCTTCATTGAAAAAACATACTAGTTAATTTTAAATAAATGAGCTCATGTAAATTCGTCTGAACATGTTATCTACATATTATGTAATACAAATCACTGTCTTAATGTTACGGTTCATGAACCACCTGGACATCATAGAAATTAGGCAAAAGGTTCGAACAAAACCTGGATGTAATTGCATATTCGCTTGTTCAGTTGTTCATTAAAGGCTTTACTCTGCAATATTCCATCAATATCAGGATGATATTTTATTAGCGATTGTCTCAGCTAATGTTCAGTAGACTTAATGTGCAATGACATTGTTGAACTGTAGAGATATGTACAAGATAACGTCAACATTATGTTGTTCTGAAATGCCACGCAGTTCTTTGAGAAACTTATAATTGGTAACATAATATATTTTTGCAGAATTACGGAATATCTGTGCTTGAATCTTGTAAGTATGATATTCATTCGCAAGAAACAGAGTCTGTAAATACTTGTAAAGTGTTGGTTATTCTGTACCTTGTGTAAAATATGTCTGAGCATCATCGAAACTGTCACCAAGGTAGTAGGTAGTTGGAGGAAATGGATCACTGCATGGTAATTTCAGCTGGTGTATTTCACTGCCTGTATCTGATCCTGAAATTAACATGAACAGATTTAGGAAAAAGGTTCTGAGGTCTTTGGGGTAGTTTGGCAGTTGTTGTTTTCTGTATTGATTCTGGGAATGAGTTGGAACCAGTGGTCAGACTTTCTAAATGTGTGCATGTGTGTACCCAGTGGCGTGGTACGTTTCAAATATCAACCAAATATTTGCAGACCATCGTGACATAACTAGAATATTGATTCACTTACTTTAACAAATAAGAAGTGTTCACGATGTAAACGTGTCCCTGATTGGAATAGAATCGGGAATAATGACTAATCTTATACTTTATTAGTTTACAATAAGACGAATGTCATGAGTTCACTGTTGAGACACATCGATAATTTACTACCAAAGCTAAAACACAACAGTTAATACAGATAAACAGGTTTATTAAAAACCTCACAATCATTACAAAAACACCCTCATCAAATATCTGCCCTTATGCTTGTGTTTCTAACACTCTTTTTAATTGCCTTTAAGGCATCGAGCATGTTCATTGCATGTTAAGATATTGTTTTATTACTTTACACCATTCATCTAACGCTAGGCGTCTCACAATGTCTACAGTATCATCATATCTATATGATACGGGTCCACATTTATCAAAAAATAGAAGTCCTCGATAAGCAGGCACATGTACAACTAGGATCACCCTCCCCTCATGAGGTTCTGTTTTGATGTTGACTGATTTTGAATAGTTTTGCATTTTATCAACATCGAAATGTTCAGTCACTGCAACCATTTCCTTCTCAATCTTCTCCTTCAGAAGGGCTTCCACATCTCCTGTTGGTCCGTTTGGAAGAGGAATGCCTCTTGTTTCTGAATATTTAGTTTGATATCGTTTTAGATCTCGAACCTCTTCTGCTATCCCACAGTAATAAGTTCCACCCTCTTCCAGTTTGGCAAATGCACTGATGTTTTCACCTAACTTCAGTTGGTCCCAGATTATGTCTGCTGCATTTGTGTGACTGACATCAGGCCCGACAGGAGGAAACCTCTTCAGCTGTACATGCCTACTTTCATGCAGATCGACAAGATCATTATCCCTCTGTTGTTGAAGTTGTTGCTTGTTCCTTTCTTGCTGACTTCTTGGTGACAGAGTCCTTATGAATGTCCTAAGACTTGGCAGATCAAGCTCCAGAAGACAATCGTCCAGAGGTAGTTTGGTCTTCATGTCCATAGTGGATAATGTTCTGCTTGATGCAACGTCAAACTTTATCACATAACCCCTGCCTTTCAAATGTTTCCTTTTGAAGTTATTTACAAATAGTTCGCCTGGCGGTAAAAGTTGATTCAGTTTTGTATTTACCATCTCATCAAACCCTCCAATGTATGTTCCTGGATCCTCCGTGTCCTTACCTAGGAAATGTACAATAATACTTCCACCACCAGAAACGTTTTGTAGAGCACACACATTTCGTATGAAGCCATTCATAATTGCTCTCCGTTCATCATCGAGGTTAGGATTTTCTTTTTTCTGTTTCTTTGATTTACTGTTGACGGCTGCTATGTCCATGTGCATACTCAACACTTTTCCCGTCCCATCTTTTCTCACTTCTGAGGTGCACCTCGCACATACAGCGCAAGAAATATTTATCAGCATCACATTTGATCCTCTGAGCTCTTTTCCCTCCACTGTATATCGAAGACCCTTGTCAACTGCAGTACTATCTAATCTCTTGAGAGTTTCTTTGGTAGTTCTAATGACATCATGGACTGCTGGGATAGCGTATTTTCCTTCAAACTTGAGAACCACGGAAGAAGATCCATGACTATACAAGTTTTCGATGTGTAACTTAAGACGATCTTTGTACTTTTCATGTATCTGGATATGAAGACATGTCACGTCAGGAGAGCTCTGACTTTTGTCCAAATAGCCTTGACAATTGTGACATGGATCTGCAAACAAGCCATCGAGTTTGTTTATGTACAAGATATGTTTGTGGCTATATACCTTGTATGTAAAACAGTTCCAGATATTCGTGCTTGTCAAAACTCCTTTATCCACACAAGATCGTTCGCCGTTGAATGGCTCCTCTTTACACCAAGGAGTTTTGACAAGCACGAAATCACTTGTTTATATATATGTATATATAGAGAGAGAGAGGGAGGAAGGGGGGGGGGGGGGGGGTATATAAGGAAATAATGAAGTCCAAGTTAATCCATCATCATCTTTATATCAATTTACATCAGTTCTAGAAATATCAAAATGTACTGAATTTGTAAAGTAGCAGTGTAACATTTACGAATGAAATGATAAATGTGTTAATGCATTCTAGAATTCACTTTGGGTTTCATCAATCGGATATATAAACTCTTCACATCAAAGGTGACTAGATGACTCATTTTTAGGTAAAGCATCGGACATCCCCCCCCCCCTCCCACACACACACACCATACACATCCACACTCCACACACACACACACACACACCACACACATACGTACACCACACACACACACACACACACCACATACGTACACCACACACACACACACACACGCGCGCGTACACCACACACACACACACACACACACACACACACACACACACACGTACACCGGACGTACACCACACACCACACACACATACGTACACCACACACACACCAAAAAAATATTTGAACATTTGAATATCCAAAACAGTATTAAGTCAAATAAAGAATTCTTGACTGAACTAGAAATGGGAATATGTTATTAATTGTTGTTCCGGTACTGATTTCCTATTAGTTTTCTTCTATACTCTCAATTTAATTATGGATGGACAGGAGGGTCCCATTGAAAGGTTAAGGTATAGAAACGATATCATCGACGCTTCTTAGACAAAATGAGTATATGAAATGTTAATATCGAACAATACCCCACAATTATTGAGGTCCTTCTCATTCAGACTTAGCATAATTTCCAGCATGTAACAAGACATACGTCGGTATGTTTAATTTCAAGCTTACATTCATTTCACAGATGATTGATATTAAACGTAAAATGTATATTACTCGCTGAAACGATTTAGATATAAGGTTCGAGTCTAAGACTAACTGGATCGAGTGGTCAGGCTCACTGACTTGGTTGATATATGTCATTGATCCAAATTGCGTGGATCGATGCTCATGATGTCAATCACTGGATTTAACACCCCACTCAACCACACCACCCCGACCCCACCTCCACCATACCCCACCTACTAACCCCATCTCTAAATTGCCGTATCAGCGTCATCTGTCACAGTGCTAACTTGTTGATGTCCGTAGGAATCGATTGACAGTGAGTTAAATGTAAACATCCCGAGCACGCTCTTGTAGTCGCCTGGGATAACAGTACACGTGATAAAGATCATTCCTCACCGTACCTTATATGTAACATGTTCAACTTTATTCCACCAACCTTTGATATGTTCTCTTGGACCAGACATCTTGGGCTGTTTAAAAAATAACAGAACTTATTTTTTCTCATCCGTTAAACGTTTTCTTCTAAGTACAATTATTATAACAATATCAATATTACCGGTACAACAATACAATAACATGTTTATTGTGACTATTGACCAATTATGACAAGTTGCTGCATCTTCAACACGAAGACTATCCAGTGGGGATAAATTATATCATATGTTTTATAAAACAATTATGTGTAACAGTTTAACTTACACGTTTGTTTGTTGTGTGTTGCACAACTTCCTCACGTTTTCTCCGTGACATCCTCAATACGCGTTACTAACGCTCTACGGCTGGGAATTTGAGTGGCAGACTGACGCGACGTAATAACGCTAAGTTAAACTGCAAGGACAAATGAGAAAGCGAAGTGACATTTCAGTGTCCTTGTGATTCGTTACAATCAATAACAACTAGGCGACACTACAGTCAATCGGCTCTATGAAGCAAGTGACTCTCGGCTCACATGGAACACTTCATTGGGTAAGATATCTTTATTCACATCCAGTTATATATCACCACCTAGTTCATCAGTGTAGGGCGGTCGGGTAGCATAGTCACAGCTTTCGCTCGTCGCGCCGAAGACCCGGGCTATAATCCCGACATGGGTATAATGTGTCCCCCGCTGTGATATTGCTAAAATATTGCTAAAAGCGGTGTAAAACCATACTCACTCACTAGTTCATCAGTGACATACATCTGACGTCCGTGTGGGTTTTTGTGTATAAAAATATTCTCAACTTTTATAATATGTAGTTATTGCGTACCAGGATTGTCTGTTCACAAAATCGTGACTATCACATGCACCTGGAAAACGCACCACTCCTTTACCTTGACATGTCCCGAACTACCAACATTTACATATGAAATTGCTCTTAATATAATAATGTCCACCAATACCTAATGAAAAACTTGTACAGGATAACTGTATCATAATTTAGATGGAGACAAGTACTATTTCACATTGTGTACGATTTTATTGATTTAAGGTTGGTTGTTTTACGCCGCACTCAGCAATATTCCAGCTAAATGACGGCGGCCTGTAAATACTCGAGTCTGGACCAGACAATCCAGTGATTGACATCATGAGCATCGATCCACACAGTTGGGATACGATGACATGCATCAACCAAGTCAGCGAGCCTGACCACCCGATCCCGTGTGTCGTCCCTTACGACAAGCATAGTCGCTTTTTACGGCAAGCATGGGTTGTTGAAGACCTATTCTAACCCGGATCTTCACATGATCACATTATGTGAAGTTTGACATTTTTTTCTGCAAAGACGTTTTGCTTATCCTTGATATCCCCAATCCACCAAAAATCTCTGACTTGATACTGACGCATATTGTTGTATTTTAGAATACAATGGATCGCACAGTACGGATGGTACTTGTTGGTAAAACTGGGAGTGGTAAAAGTGCAACAGGAAATACCATACTTGGAAAACCAGTGTTTGAATCCGCTACAAGGGCTATCAGTGTGACAAGAAACTTTCAAAAGGGAAAATGTGTTCGTCTGGACAGAGTCATAGAGGTCTTGGACACACCACACATTTACGGGGAAGCACCAAATATATATCTGAATAAAAACATGAGTAATGCTCCTCATGCCATACTCCTTGTGACACAAGTTGGACAAACCGACGAAACAACGGCAGATATGATAACCAATATGACGAAGGTGTTTGGCGTCAACATTGAGAACTATTTGGTTTTTGTATTTACTAGATCAAATGATATGTTCTCATACGGTACGTCACGTGATCAATTCATTCAACAGTTGCCTACTTCTATTAGGAGCATAGTAAGTAAACGTCCGTGTGTCTTTTTGGACAATGAATCTTCAAACTCAGAAAAAGAGGAAAAGTTTGAAGAACTGTTGTCGGCAATAGAGGAGATGACACGACGAAATCGCCCGGAACATTTTCTGTTTAGACGGCAGTACTCTCTTCGAGCAAGAGGTGTTCGAGTGAATGGCACCCGTCACAAACACTATTCTACAGCTCTAAAATAGCTATCAGTAATGATAAAAAAGAGGACTGGACCGTTGTCTTAAATGTATGCCGTTCCCTTTAATACAGCCAACCAGATATATGCTTACTTATTTAATAGTGTGTAAATATGAATATAACACGGGTGTCCTAATGTCCTCTTACACAAACCAGGCCATATTTAAACAGCCAGTTTACATGTAAATACATGCAGTTTCTGCTTCTGTTTCTGAGTTTATGATTTATAGTCCTGCAAATATAACCCTATCATCCGCTTAAGGTTGTAAGTGTCTGACAAGAAAGAGCATCAGTTAGTATTCCTTGATGTTTTCAGTTCGTTACTGCAGCTATCTTGTTGAGTTAGTCATACGGGTGTGGGACGTTCAAGTATCTTAATCTTACGTTTGATGTTTTACGTTGTTGTGGATCTGGGGTTTGCTATTATGCTTTATTATGCCTCAAAGTGAGATTGACCAATCAAAGAGCAGAACTACTGACCCCATATGATCCCGTATACAATCAGTAAAAATCCATGATGGTTGTTACTGACCTAATATGAGACCGTTTGAGACGTTTGTGACTTTATTAACAAAAAAATATGGAAAATAAAAGCTCAGAGCAGAGGTCACTGATTAACAAATAGCAACGTCAAAGAAAACATAGGATGGCGTCACAAACAAGAAACGTGACGCCAATGACGTCACATAGCAATTGAATAGCAGTCCGTCGTTAGGGAAAAGCGGACTGCTATCAAATTACAATGGCCCGCAGAATACTTTCAATTTCAGCTATAATACTTGTTTAAACGTTCACAGTTAGTGCATTATGTATTTCATTGTTAACGATCCCTTGAAGATCCGGGGTAGAATATGTCTTAAGCAACCCATGCTTGCCGTAAAAGGCGACTATGCTTGTCGTAAAAGGCGACTAACGGGGTCGGGTGGTCAGGCTCGCTGACGCATGTCATCGATCCCAATTGCGTGGATCGATTCTCATGATATCAATTACTGGATTGTCTGGTCCAGACTCGATTATTTACAGACCGCCGTCATAAAGCTGGAATATTGCTGAGTGCGGCGTTAAACAATAAACCAAACCAAACCATTGTTAACGTCTGTTTTCACATTAAATCGTTGTACTGGAAACGCATGTACTGGTCCTGTTATTTACACTGGTTGTAAGTGTCAAGTTTTCATTTTGACATGACACGTGCGATAAAGATACCAAATAGTGTAAGCTTTTCGGCATAATAAGTTCGATATGGTATCTTTAGTTGCCGTACATGGTGCCATATGAGGTTAGCAGAAAAATATTGGACGAGGCGTAAGCAGAGTCCAGACTCGATTATTTACAGACCGCCGTCATATAGCTGGAATATTGCTGTGTGCGGCGTTAAACAACAAACAAACAAACAGTAACTGTACATTGTTGTATATCTTTTATGATACCGTAGGATATAGTGGTTATTTTGCCATTCATGTTTCCCATATTTAAAAACACACATTGGCTAAGCACCCCAGTCTACTGTATTCCCCGGCTGTCCAGGAGAGAAATGCTCTCTGAGGTCAACGCGCAGTATATACTCTAACGTCAACAAGAAACGATACCAACTGTTTGAAAGGTTATGGAAGAAAACCAATACCATATTGAAAATTTATATTGGTATATTTCATTAACATATTAACATATTTCTTTTAACATCATATGTACAAAAATCCATTGCATTCCAACTTTAACATGCAGACAGACAGGCCCATAAAGACGCGTGGGGTCAACAATGAATGTCACAGTCATAACACATGACAAGGCAAGTGTGTAAAATGTCAGAATACTCATGACATTGTCACATTAATATCCACCTTGACCACCTTGACCATTAATGCACGAATGCATACCAGAAAACGTGGTGTGTTTGTGTGTGTGTGTGTGTGTGGGGGGGGGGGGGGGGCGTTGCCATTCGTCAAGGAGGCATTGTCCCAACGATTTGCGGTTGGTTGACCGGAGCGTCTGGGCGACTTCTGATTTGGCGATCGGGGTGGTCCCATAAATGTTCAATGGTGTTCATATCTGGCTACCATGAGGGCCATGGTAGAGCCTGAATTTTCACGTTGTTAAGGAAGTTATGCATCAACCATGCCATATCAGGCGTCGCCTTGTCGTGCTAGAAAATGATTCCATGGGGTTGTTGCTGGAAGGATGGAAAACTTCATCTCGATATCGCTGTGCTTTCATGTTGCCATGAATAAAGTGACCGATTCTTTAGTTGATTAGACTTGTTTGATATTCTGAAATTCTCTTCTATTTTATAGTCCTAGTGAATTATTTTTGGGAAAGGCCTTCTGTGTTTACTTCCCGTTATTTAACCCAATCATTAGAGAGTTGAGTTACATGGTCGCAGCCGACTTATTTGGCTGTCTACGCATCTTGTCTTATCTGTTCAAAGTGTTGTTTTAGCTACTCTCATTGTATTACTGGAATACAGTTGCTTAGCTGAGCCGCTTGTGTGTTTGTGCTGATTGAATTAAACAGTAATCGTTTTCAGTGTAGATTAAGTTGATGTGATCCCTTTTATTGTCATTTATTTGTACAATTAGCTGTTATTAATAAACCTGTGAACCTGTTACCACGTCTTCATTATTATTTTATTCTTACCCTCCGTGACAGTCAGTGTGGGCATATACACAGCTGACACACGACATACTTTTACCATAGCCAGTGTGGGCTGATACACAGATGACACAAAACATGATTATACCAGAGCCAAAGTAGGCTGGTTCACAGTTGACTCAAGACATAATCAAAACATAGTCAATGAGAGAGAGAGAGAGAGAGAGAGAGAGAGAGAGAGAGTGATAGAGATAGAGAGAGAGAGAGAGAGAGAGAGAGAGAGAGAGAGATTCTTTATTTCCTCCAGAAGGTTATCCGAAGATTATACATAATTAATCAAACATATTCAGACAAACTCATATTACCTGTACATATATAATACAAGACAGTAGCACCCGTGTCATGCCATTCACACAGTACAAAAGGTTAGATCAGATGACATAATCAAGGTAAGGCTTTAGAGTAAGTACATAAGCATAAGCAGTATAACAGATTCCCATGTAACTATATCAATACATTGTGAGAAGTGAGTATCAGCACCAAAGAAAAATGACAACATATCTTCTTCATCTTGTTTTTCCTGGACATAGGTTTCAAAATCAAACAGATCAATAAAAGTTGAAAACAGTTCATTCTTTCCTGCAGTAGAGCTTCATAATGTAATATGATGTGATTATCATAATCAAAGGCATGCTTGTAACACTATATAACAGTCCCTGGAAGTTTTGCTTCGTGATGAAAGTCTAACACAAAATTTTAAACTTGACCTCTGTTCTGGGTACAGATATGCTAGTTGCCATAATATATGGTGAGTAAGCTTTGCGTGTATTAGCATGAAGGGTGAAAGACCTGTATTGACAGAAACTTTTCTGCGCCACATATTTTCTTCATATTCATAAATGGTTTTATTAACCAGTTGCTTCCAGTTTCTCTTTGTAGGAAATACACAACAGCTTACATATGTACAAAGGTTGTTTCGTAAGCTATACTTGTTAAGAACTGATAATAAATCTCCACATTCAGATTTAGGATTAGTTGGATTTGCAATGTATGCACAAAAAAGATGTTTAACAAAATTGTTACAGGTTAAGTTACATAAGCGGCCAAGCAGCTGAAGTTTACACTTGTCGATATATCCGATCATTGTCCAAAGCCCAAGATTAGCAATAGTGGATTCTGATGGAGATCTTTAACCAAGTTCTTATACAGTTTGTGCGAAATAGCGTTGAGTATTTTCAATGACATTAATGTTTTGACCCTTAATATCAAAGAGCAGTTCGCAGCCGTGAAAAACTTGTTTTTAATATCATTCTTAACCAGATTTTTACACTGGTAGCTGGATGTAGCTCAGAACTCTTGAGTCCCACAGACTTTAGCGACTCAATACTCTGTCTTGCTTTTTGAAAACATTTTTCAATACTTGATTTATATGACAGGCTATGTGTTAGTAGTATGCCACCATACATGAAAGAGTCAGAGGTTGTTATATTTATGTCACAAAGTTTGCAGTTAATATCTAATCCCTTTTGTTTTGTCTTGGAGAAGACAACAACATCATTTTTGAAGGGTTATACGTTAGTCGCCACTTTGAGGCATATGAATGTACTGTATCAAGTGCCTTTTGTAGCCCTCGTGGTGAGGTGCTAACAAGAGTTGTGTGTTTGCGCTGATTTAATTCATCAGTAATCGTTTTCAGTGTAGATTAAGTTGATATGATCCCTTTTATTGTCATTTATTAGTACAATAAGCTGTTATTAATAAACCTGTGAACCTGTTACCACGTCTTCATTATTATTGTATTCTTGTGGGCTTATACACAGATGACACAAAACATGATTATACCAGAACCAAAGTGGGCTGGTTCACAGTTGACTCAAGACATAATCAAAACATAGTCAATGT